GTAAAATAATATTTTTGACGCAAATTTGCGATGGTTTGTTCATTTAATTCTGTCGTAATTTTGCAATGGTAAAATCTGTTGCAGATTTCAACCGAATCCCAATCTCAACATGTCTGCTTATTGCAACAGAATAATAAGAATTTTCAACCAAAAAATGCCTTCGCAATTTTCTAGGGAATTTTGATCGCCTAATTGCTATAGCAAATATCGTTTGCAATGAAACAATTTGCAACGATCATTGTCACCTTATAGATTCCGTCGCAAATCGTATTTTGACTGAATTTGCCTTGTTTGCGATGAAAATTGTCTGTCACAAATAACGTGCTTTTTTGTAGTGAACATATTTTTTGATGTATTACTACTCATCTTATAATAAAGAATATGAAACTACAATTTCTCATATAAGTTTACACTATCGTAAGGCAAATAACTCCTAACATTGAACCTCCCCTAAATTGGTCATTGGATATTGAATCTAGATTCATGTTAGATTTTTTTTCCAACATGACTCTGCTCACCGTTTGGTAAATTTTCATGCGACTTTTGGATAACGAGTCTGATTTACATAATAAGCAAGGGCGGACCTAGAGAGGGGTGTGGATTGGCATTTGACCTTCCTTAAATTTTGTTATTTTTATTATTATATGTATAAAAATAATACTTTTATATTAATAATAGACTTAGTACTCAAAAACACTTATAATAATGAATCTCTATTATTAGCCTTAATAACACTTGTAATTTTAATATTTTATTCTTGCCCTTAATCATAGAAAATTCTGTATCTGCCATTGGAAATAAGCCTTTTGCAAAATGTAAAATAGATCCTGATCCGGATAAAATATAGGCCCAGTAGAGGCCCAGTGACATACGGAGAAGCCCAAACCCATTAAGGATCCAGAGCAAGCGCAATGGACAAACATAGCGCATAAGACACGATGCATTCATCGCGCTAGACAAGACACGATGCCCATATCGCGGATAAAACCCCCTTAAGGAAGCTAACTTAAGTCCCAAGGCAATCCCACCGCGCCTTTATTCCAATAAAAGGCAGACAGCTCCAGCTTGCCGCGACTCTACAAGTGGAGATAAGGCTACTCAGGTTCTAGCCTGATCTGCAGCCCAAACCAGGCCAATCAGAGGCCATACCGCCTTACTAAGGCGGCATCATAACTGCTATATAAACAAATGGTACAACACCAAGGTACGATCATCCTTTACAGTAATAACATAAAAACTCATGCCTCTAATACTGACTTAAGCATCGGAGTGTCTTCGCAGGTACCCCCCATTCGGATCCAACGCACTACAACAAAGGACAGAGACAATCTCACTTCCACTTCAGGCCCAAAACCAAGGACAACAATCCACTTCTCAACCGTGTGTGATTAGGCTCGATACATATTGGCCAACCCATATTGTATTTAGTCTGATCATTGGCGCCGTCTGTGGGAATCTACCAGTTAGAACCCATCTCTTTCAAATTAAAAACATGGTTGATACCAGAAGCAAATCCTAGAACGACTCCAAAGGAAAGCGGAAGGAGACTCCTGTTTCCCGCGAAAAATCAGCTTCGTCGGTGGCACCACTTTCTATCCATGAGGATAACCCACCGACAGCCCAGCACTTGCTGGACCTTATCACACAACAAAATAAGAGAATTGCCCAACAAAACCGAGATCTAGCTCAATTGAAAAAAGCTCAAAAGAACAAAGAAAAAAATCTATAAAAAGGAAAAGAAAAAGAACATGAGAAGGAGCAAACTCTTGAAAATTTTAAAGAAAGTGAACCGAGACAGGAACAGTCACTCGGTGACCCTGGTCTTTCGGGTCACAAAAATAAAAAAGGTGAAGAGGTGAAAGATACTAATGAGAACGAGAATTCTCAGGGAAATTCTAGGACGTTATTTCGAATTCTTCACCCATTCACCTCATGCATAATGAATATCCTAATTCCTAGAGACGTCAAAATTACAACTAAAAAGTATAACGGAAAGGGGGATCCGCAGGAACATCTGGAAAAATTCCAAACCAATATGATGGCTCAAGATGTAGCCGATCCAATAGCGTGCCGGTTGTTTCCAACAACCCTCAAAGAAACAGCACTTAGGTGGTATTCTGCGCTACCGCCCAATTCAGTACAAAGCTGGGAGGACTTAACCAACCAATTTCTTGTGCGCTTTGCAACAAGTAAAGCGCAATACAAATCTACGCACGCACTCAAAACTACGCGCCAAGGACCAAACGAAACATTGCGCGATTATCTCAACAGATTCTTTGATGAAGCACTCCTGGTCAGAGACTTGGATACACAAGTCTCATTACATCTCATTACTGAAGGGCTACTTGAAGGCCCTTTCTCTATGTCGCTAGCCAAACAGTGACCACGTACTATAGAAGAGTTGTGTGCGCGATCAAAAAAATTCATCAACTTGGAAGATTATAAACGTTTGCGTGCAATTCCCAATACCAGGGCCGACATGGACAACTTTGAAAAGGACGTCCACAAGAATTTTCAGCGAAAATTCTGTGAAAAAAGGAAGTGGGGAAGATATGACAATTATACTCCATTAAACACGTCCCAGAGACGAATTTTGAAAGAAGTATTCCAAACGGGATATGTACGAGTTAGCAAACCCCCTCCAATGAGAAAAGGAGTGCAGCACGATGATACCAAGTCTTGTGAGTTCCACAACGACAAAGGCCATACAACTAATGAATGTTTCGAGCTCAAAAATACTATTGAAACACTCATAAGAGCAGGGAAACTCCAGGAATTCGTTTCTAGCTGCAGGGAATACAAGACGCAAAGAAGACGCGATAGAAGCCTAGATCGCGATCCCAACCCTAATGAACAAAGGGCATATCCCAGAAGGGACTACAACCCTGCACGGAACAATGATCGCAGAAATGCTATACAAAGTTCTTTATACATAACGCTATACAAAGTTCTTTATACAGGAATTCAACAAAGAAATAGAGATATCAGTTACCCAAATATGCTCGGATATCATCATCCGAATATTCATTTAAAATGGTATATGTGGTCAATGAGCCCGAATCAGAAGCTTCACGAGCAATATTACTCAGAGTGGTCACAGTCTTCTGCTCCAAATCACTTAAGTCATCAAAATTATAACTCAAATTAGCACCTTCTACAGAATGCTCAGTCCAGTATAAAGGAAAGATGTGAGTTCCATCATCTCCTAAGAAAAAGGGGGTGGTATCCTTGGCGGGATAAAACTTGAAGTATTCTGCAGTCCACTTGTTGATCTTCCTGCAGTACGACTCACAGAACTTCACCTTGCTTCTAAAGGATATCCAACTAGAATGTGGTCCCATCACACTAAACATATATAAGAATGACTCTACTGATTGAAAAAGACCATAGGCCTTGCAAACCATCTCATATACTCTAATAAAACCCCAGGCATTGGGGGTCAGTTGTGAAGGAGCCACATTCAGATGCGCTAGCAATTTAAAAACAAACAAAGAAAAAGGAAGAAGAACTCCTATGGACAAAAAGAAATAGGAGTACATCATCATAAAATGCCTGGTTGATCCCTCTGCCCACGAAGAGCACACGCGCTCATTCTTTGGGACGACATCAACTACCCATTGATCATAAAAAGCTTTATCAGGAGTACGGTGGATAGCAGCTGATACTTCCGCCAGCTCTCCGGGAGAACAAAACATGGACTCGGTATCTAAAACCGTATCTGTTACCCAACCTAGGGATTCCTCATCCCGCAAGTTCCGCTTGATAGAAGATTCTTCTTCAGGATTAAACTGTATAACTTTCTTCTTAGACCCAAGATTCAGCTTTTGTTTCTTCTTATCGATAGCGGCACGCTTCTCGCTAGCACTGCGCTTGGCCATTATTTCCTTGATTTGGGGAGACACGAAATCTGATTCAGAAGAGGAAGAATCAGTAGATGAAGACGAATCAGAGGAAGCAGAGACAGGAAATGCAGATTTATAAGTATCAAAATTCCTTTTCTTAAAAGGATACCCTGCCGGATATATTACATTCAACGGTAATAGACTTGGACTTTGCCGACCGCGATACTCTTGCGCGATAGGAGGCGAAGTATCACACAGAGTATTTGGAGAAGATGGTTTAGGATCTACTGTATTATCAGACATACTACTACTCCCACTACATTCAGAACTTGAGGAGGAATCACTCAAAATTATAATAGGCCTCAACATTCTAAAGGAAACCTGGGGAAACAAAGATGAACTTTGTTGAGAAAATGTCTTTCCGCGACTTGGTTGTGCCGAAGATGATCCTAATTCGAACCTACGAACAGTAGGGACACGACTATCATTCACACACACTTTGGGACAGGGGGAAACACACTCCTCAGTAGGCCGCTCTTCCCTAGTTCCCAATGATCTTGACCTAGGTAACAATCTCGAAGGCGAACTGGACGAGCCAGACCGTTCAAAAAATTTGATAAAGTCCACACATTTGTGATTATCAGACATGCCTCAAGCACAAAGAAGGCACAAAGAAGGTTCAGTACAAATACGAAAGGTTTTCTCAAACGGATAGTCCGAAAGGAACCAAAACGTGTTGAGTAAAACGGTTTTGAAGGGACACATGGCAAGAAGGGGAAGCGTTTTCACTTCAACAACCACCCACGCTTACCCTTAAACACCCACGTAATGACACCAGCATTTGATGCCTCTGACAGTTAAACGTCTAATCCACCGTTCTTAAGCGACTAACAATCATGATGACACTTTAACATGATTACCACGGAAAACAGACAGGACATATGAGATGCAACTACCGCGCTTGAACAGCATATAGCTCACAGCTTTGCCACATGACAAATTCGCAGGCTAGGGGGCAACTGACCCGGATAAAATATAGGCCCATTAGAGGCCCATTGACATACGGAGAAGCCCAAACCCATTAAGGATCCAGAGCAAGCGCGATGGACAAACATAGCGCATAAGACGCGATGCACTCATCGCGCTGGACAAGACACGATGCCCATATCGCGGATAAAACCCCTTAAGGAAGCTAACTTAAGGCCCAAGGCAATCCCACCGCGCCTTTATTCCAATAAAAGGCAGACAGCTCCAGCTTGCCGCGACTCTACAACTGGAGATAAGGCTACTCAGGTTCTAGCCTGACCTACAGCCCAAACCAGGCCAATCAGAGGCCATACCGCCTTACTAAGGCGGCATCATAACCGCTATATAAACAAATGGTACAACACCAAGGTACGATCATCCTTTACAGTAATAACATAAAAACTCCTGCCTCTGATACTGACTTAAGCATCAAAGTGTCTTCGCAGGTACCCCCTCATTCGGATCCAACGCGCTACAACAAAGGACAGAGACAATCTCACTTCCACTTCAGGCCCAAAACCAAGGACAACAATCCACTTCTCAACCGTGTGTGATTAGGCTCGATACATATTGGCCAGCCCATATTGTATTTGGTCTGATCAGATCCATATGGTGAATATTATCCTTCCCTAAACATTAAATGGAGCGGAAACTTTATAATCCTTAGTGTTAGAGATAATATAAAAACTATTGATGAGCCTTCACTTATAAACTTAAACTTTTGAGTTGAATTGATGCTTTATATGATATCAAAGAGCTCTTGTGTAGAGGTGTGTTACAAAAATATAATATAAAAATAATTGAAGACCTATCATTTATAAGTTTAAGTTGTTGGGTAAGATGATTGTTTTTCCTTATTTTTTCTTTATGTTATTGAATTTTTCCCCCACGTCTCATGCACTTTTATTTCTCCAAAAATTAGTATAACTTGAGAATTTTAAATGAATATAATTTATTTTTTAAGTAAAGAATACTTTTGTGAAAAGCATTATTTTTAATGCTATATAGTAATATATAATGCATCGCAAAACACAATATAATATCATCTTATATGATATCACCCTACTAAATATATAGTGTTAAAAACTTTTCAGACCTTATCATATCTTATTTTAAGGGAAAGTGTGTGTCATTTTAAAAAATGTAAAGTTGTGTCTTTTAAGTGAAAAAAGAGATAGATTATGAGAGAGAGAGAATGAACAAAAAAAACAAAGGTGTGAGTCTTACTTCTTGGTGAGAGTGGAATGATACAAGTTGTGTCATTTAAAAAGACAAACAATTTTCCCTCTATTTTATTAAGAGTCTGTTTACATTATAATATGCTAAAAAAATAAAGGACAACACAATGTAAAAAAATTATGCTTTATTTAATTGTTAAAATAATATAAATACTCGAAAAAAACAACAACTCAATTGATAGTATAAAACTCTAAATTTTTGTTATCACTGAATTATCTTATAAAACTTGTTCACAACACAAAAAGAGAAAAAGTTTAGACTCCTATCTCTTAATTATTATTATTTTATGTTTTTTTTAATAAGTTGAGCAAGTCGTTTTTCTTTGGCTTACTTTTTTAAAAAAAAGAAAGAAAGTAAAATTGACTTATTTAATAGGGATAAACTATGCATGCATGTCGTGGTTGGCAATTAGGAAAATGCATTAAGGGACATTTAGTAGAGAATTTTTTTTTTAATCTAAGAATCATAATTTTCAGAAATATGTAGAAAAAGTGAATTTATTGAAAATATTATCAAAATGTTATTTGGTAGACTAAAATATTTTGACAAATATTGAATCAATTTTTCTAATGCTATATTTCATTAATCATAAAATACTGATAGGAATTTGCAAAATTAACCTTAATCTCGTTTTTGTTTATTCAGTTTTTACAAAAGAAAGAAGAAAAAGAAACAAACTCCGATCTCGGAGCTGTTTATTGGATCTGAGAATTTTGAGCATGCGGATCTGGACCAGTAGATCGTGCATCTGATGGAGTGTAAGCCTCTGCCGGAGGTGAAGGCGCTATGCGTTTAGCAGGGAGGGTATTTTTGTAACAAAAATCAATGAACATTTTTTCAGTTCGGAATTCCTGAAATACCACATATTCTATGAGATTATTTGATGGCATTTTCACATGTAATTTAAAATTCTGAGAATGTAATTTTTTCAAGAAATTTTTTACTTTTTCTTGTATCAAAATTAAAATGCCAGTTTCACTTTCTTATGAATTTTTTTTTTTCGATCATCCAAACACCGACGGGAATGCATAAACAATATATATTAAAGAATAAGGAGAATGCAGCTGGCGCCATATGTATAAGCTCGATAAGCTAAATTTTTTCTTTTTAAAAAAAAAAATCCCATTTAGAATGCATGTGCCCATTCAAGTTAAGAGTATTAAAATTAAAAGGAATATCTTGGTTGTCTTGAGAATTCTTTTGTGATTATTACACAATAACAATGATAAATCCAGCAGCGGGTAAACGCCAAAACCATTAGATAAGACACGTTAGGATCGAGAAAAACTTTGATGTACAGAAAGAATCCAATTCGAGGGAGCGTGATTATTTTGTCACGTTTGGATAAAAAAATTATTAGACTGTCACGTTAACAGTAAATTTTGCCAAAATGCCACGCGGTATAATTCGCTACACAATGTAGCGAATTATTTATGCAAGTAATTCACTACACAGTGTAACGAAATATGCCACGTCAGAACTAAAAATGCCACATGTCAAATTTTGAGAAATTCGCTATCCTATGTAGAGAATTTTGCAAAATGTGACATGTGGCATTTTTGGTTCTGTGCGTTCTGACGTGGCATATTTTGCTACACTGTGTAGGGAATTACTTGCATACATAATTCGCTACATTGTGTAGCGAATTATGCCGCGTGTTTGGCAAAATTTACTGTTGGCGTGGCAGTCTGGTAATTTTTTTGTCCAAACGTGACACTTTGGTCACTGTTCCCCAATTCGATGCTCTTTTTTATTGTTATTTTTTCTTTTTAATCATATTTTTTTAAATCCTAATTTTTTTCTCTATTTTAACAAAGAAAAATATTATATTTATAAATTTTTTATTTACAAATTCTTACCGATTATATTATATTTTAATGATAAAATACGTTTGAATAAATTTTTTTCAATAAAATATAATATAATTTATAAATTAATAAAAAAAATTGTCAATATAATTATTTTCTTGGTAAAATAGAACAACGATTTTGGATGAGCCGGTGCACCAAAGTTTATGTCAATAGGATGAGGTTTGTTTTAGTGGTCCAGAGTATATTGTACCCTTCCAAAAATAGTAAAAAACAAAGGAGTGGAAAGGAATTTTTCAAAAAGCGAAGGATTGGAAGGGAATCACATTTTTCCAAAAAAAGAAAAAGAGAACCACAAAAAATAATGGATCAGGTTTTTGTGTTCAATAGAAAAAGTGAAAGCATGTCGTGCTCTACTACTACAGAATAAATCTTTGGTACTACTGTAGCAGCATCAAAATTCAGTGCATCCCACTAATAGAATTACATATCAGAGGAGAGGAGAAAAAAAAAATTCGCAGATAAAATTTTTTTTATTCCTACACACAATAGGTTTTGAATTTTATCAAAACCTTCACCGCACGTGAACAGAGGCATGAAATATGTTTTCACCAACTCCCAAACCACAAGACGACAAAGTCAAACAGTAATAGTGTATTGGAGCATCCACAGTTTGTTTATTTCCACACTCGATCCTTGTGTTGGAGCATCACACCAATCCTAACATTAATAGTGTACCCATTATACACCATCCTCGAAAAGTTAGCTTTGCAATTGCAATGGCAATGGCTTGCAAGAGCATCCAATGCAGTTCTTCATCTCTGATGACATGGAAATATGATGTGTTTGTGAGCTTCAGAGGTGAGGATACACGTAAAACTTTCACTGATCATCTCTTTGCTGCTCTCCATAGAAAAGGAATTCTTGCCTTCAGGGATGATACAAAGCTCAAGAAAGGTGAATCCATAGGACCTGAGCTTCAACAAGCAATTGAAGGGTCTCGGGTTTTGGTTGTGGTCTTCTCAAAGAACTATGCTTTCTCAACATGGTGCTTGCGAGAACTTGCAAATATTCTCGATTGCGTTCAAGTATCAGGAAGACGGGTTCTGCCTATTTTCTATGATGTTGATCCATCTGAGGTACGAAAACAAAGTGAGAGTTATGAGAAAGCCTTTGCTGAATATGAAGAAAAATTCAAAGAAGATTTAGACAAGATGGAGGAAGTGAAAAGATGGAGAGGAGTTCTGACACAAGTGGCCAATCTCTCTGGTTGGGATGTAAGAGATACGTAAGTAATATTCTCTCAAGTTTAATGGTTTTAACTTTATTTAGTAAGTTTTAGGCTTTTATATGTGTAAGTTCTTACTTTAAGGCACTCTTATATTGATTGTTTCTTACTTATTGATGTTCATGGATTTACTTTCCCTTTTCAAGCGAGAGTTGAGAGAGATTCTGTATAATCTGTTGAAGAGGAAACCCAAAATTCGGTCCAAATGTACATGCTTTATATATATGAAGAGAGTACTTAATTTAGAAAATTAAAAAAAAAAAAAAAAGACTATTAATCGTGTCCTGTATATGTACTTTTTGTTTTGGTTTTTTTAGGTGCTGATATGGTGTTCTTGATTTTCTTTAAATTTTCAGGCCACAAAATGCAGAGATTGAAAAAATTGTTAAATACATAGGAAGTATATTGAATCACAAAACTTCAAGTCTTCCAAATGATATTGTTGGGTTGCAATCTCCGGCAGAAAAATTAGAAAAACTTTTACTTTTGGGGCCGGTTGATGATGTTCGAGTTGTAGGAATTTGTGGTATGGGGGGGATAGGAAAGACAACTCTTGCTTCAGTTTTGTGGGATAGAATCTCTCATCATTATGATGCTCACTGTTTTATTCATGATTTAAGCAATTCTGGTCCAATTGAGGCACAAAAGCAACTTCTAAGCCAAACTCTACATGAAGAAAACCTTCATATGCCCAATCCTTTAAATGCAGCTAGTTTAATAAGAAGTAGGCTTCGTCATTTAAGGTCCCTGATTGTTCTTGATAATGTTGATAAAGTTGAACATATAGAGAAATTAGCTGTGGATCCTCAATGGTTAGGTGCGGGGAGTGGAATCATTATAATTTCTAGAGATGAACATATCTTAAGAGAGTATGGAGTGCACGCTATTCACAAGGTTCAACTCTTGAATTGTGATGATGCTCTTCAATTATTTTGTAAAAAAGCTTTCAAATGTGATGATATAAGGAGAGGTTATGAAGCATTGACAAATGATGTATTAGAATATGCTAATGGCCTTCCACTAGCAATTAAAGTATTGGGCTCATTTTTGTCTGGACGAAGTGTCTCTGAGTGGAGAAGTGCATTGGCAAGATTGAAAGAAATTCCAAACAGAGATATATTAGATGTGCTACGAATCAGTTACGAGGGACTCCAACAAATGGAAAAAGAAATATTTTTGGATATTGCTTGTTTCTTCAATGGGAAAAAGCCAGGATATGTTATGGAAGTTCTACGTTGTTGTGGATTTCATCCAGAAATTGGAATGAAAGTTCTCATTGATAAATCTCTGCTAACTATTTCTTACCATTACTCAGTATTTTATCATATCAAAATGCACGATTTGTTGCAAGAGCTCGGGAGAAAAATAGTTCAAGAAAATTCACCCAAAGAGCCAAGAAATTGGAGCAGGCTTTGGCTCTACAAAGATTTTCGCAAGGTTATGTTGGAGGAGAATATGGTAAAGTTGTTGTTTGAAAATATAAAACTTTATAATTCAATATTTGAAGAAGTTATAAATATTTAAATTTAATTAAGTTTTACTCACTTGTATGCAATCCTTTAGGAAAACAAGGTTGAAGCCATAGTTTTGAACGGCTCAGAAGAATCTGAAGAATTGATGGCCGAAGGATTGTCAAAAATGAAGCACCTTAGATTGCTCATACTCAATGGTGTGAAATTTTCGGGAAGACTCAATTGTTTTTCCAATAAATTTCGATATGTTGAGTGGGATGAATATCCCTTCATGTACTTGCCATCAAGTTTTGAACCGGAAGAGCCTGTTCATTTGATCTTGAAGCAAAGCAACATAAAAAGACTATGGGAGGGCAAGAAGGTACAATAAACTCTCTTTTTCATTCTGCTTTTAGAAATACAAACAAAATCAGGCAAATGAATTCTCATTTTCTTTTCCTTTTATTTTTGAAGATAAATTAGAAAACGAAAGAAAGTAATTCTTTATATTCTTGTTGGTCTTCACAGTACATGCCCAATTTGATGAGTCTTGACCTTAGCCACTCCAAAAATCTTATGAAGATGCCAGATTTTGGAGAGGTCCCAAATCTTGAGGAGCTTATTCTTGAAGGATGTACAAAACTTGTGCAGATCGATCCATCCGTTGGTCTTCTAAGAAAGCTTGCTTACTTGAATTTGAAAAACTGCAAAAATCTAGTAGGTATACCCAACAACATAGTGGATGTCACCTCTCTCCTATATCTAAATCTCTCTGGCTGTTCAAAAATGTTCAGTAACCATCTTCCATGGCATGAGGAGCATTTGAAGAAGCTTGGTATAAGTGAAACAGCCATGAACTCCCAATCAACATCCTCTTCCATCTTTGAAAGGCTTATGTTGTTTCCTTTCCGTGTTATGCACTCCCACTTGCAGTCAACATCCTCTACCTTTGAAAGGCTTTTGTTGCCTTTCCACTCTTCTAATTCTAGAACAGATAAAGATTCAGCTACTTGGTTGTTGCCTTCCTTGCCTTGCTTCTCTTGTTTGACAATTCTTGATCTGAGTTTCTGCTATCTGCAACAAATTCCTGAAGCTATTGGAACTTTGCTTTGCTTAACATTTCTTAATTTGGAGGGAAACAATTTTGTGACAATGACGTGTAGCCTGAAGGAGCTTTCAAAACTTGTGTATTTGAACTTGTCACATTGCAAGCACTTGAAATCTTTGCCTCAGCTCCCTTCACGTCCTTACATGCCAGCAGGAGATGAAGTTCCTGAGCATCAGAGAACACCACTTACATTATACATCTTCAACTGCCCAAATTTGAGTGAGAGGGAACGCTGCAACAGCATGATATTTTCATGGATGGTACAGGTCGTTCAGGTGCACACTCTTTGGCCCTTGCTTCATTCGTGCCTTTTCTCATCTCTCTTTCTCAGTTACATAAATAAAATATAAAAATTATTGATGTCCTTCCACTAATCGCTTAAATTCTTGAGTTGAAATGATAATGATTTTTTTAGTAGTATTGATTAAATGATCACAAGTTTCATCCTTATTGTTCTGTTTTGTGCATTGTCCATTATTTATAAAATACAATATAATATATAAAATCATTAATGTAAAGAACCAATTCAACCCAAAAGCTTAAGCTGTCAGGTGAGGCTACATTAATAGTTTTTTATATATCTCAACACGCCCCCTCACACGAGAGCCCACTGAGCTTGAAGGGTGGACAATGCACATGCCCACCTACCTGTGCAAACAAAGAAATTCCACTTGAAAGAAAGTGGGGGGCGGCGAGGATCGAACCCGGAACACGAGGCTCTGATACCATGTAAAGAACAAATTCAACCCAAAAGCGCTTAAGCTGTTAGGTGAGGCTACATTAATGGTTTTTTATATATCTCAACAAATGTTTAGAGAAATTATATATAAAATCATTAAAGTAGCATTCACTTAATAACTTAAGCTTTTAAGTTAAATTGTTTGCAAATGACATTCACTTAATAGCTTAAGTTTTTAAGTTAAATTGGTTCCAAGTTGCAAATGGTCTATCCAATATCCATGGCTCTTGCAATGAGGCTCTGTTAGAGAAATTATATATAAAATCATTAAAGTTGCATTCAACTAACAACTTACAACTTCAGTTTTACATGGAATCCATGACGAGCTAGGGGAATCGTTGTGGGCAACCACCATCAATAGGTTAAACTAGATAAACCGTATCAAATGAGTCTTATGGCAGTTAGGAGAAAGTCAATTTAATGGTTTTATATATAATTTCTCTAACACCTAATTTATTAAATTTAGGTTGAAATGATTTTTTTCACTAAGATATAACTTTGTTTATGGTATTAGGTGAGCCTAGAATCCTCTGCCCCTTTGGAGGGTATTGATATTGTTTTTCCGGGAAGTGAAATACCAAGGTGGTTCAACAATCAGAATGTGGGCAATTCAATAAGTGTTGACCTATCTCCCATTATGCATGACGATGATTGGATAGGCATTGCTTGCTGTGCAGTATTTGTGGCATCTTGTGATCCAATTACTTTGAGATGCGGACACGGTGTCACTTTTCAGATTGGTTTTTATTATAAATCGGATTGGTCATTTTTCGACAGTCATGTACACATGCAGGGTGAACTGTTAACTGTTGAATCAGATCATATCTGGCTATTCTATTTCCCATGGGAAATATCAAGTGGTATTATGAGTCTTGCAGCTAGCCAAAAAAGTGACAATCATGATTTTGAAGATATTAAGATGATAGTTTCGTTCAGGGACGGTGCAGGTGTGCACTTGGAAGTGAAAAATTGTGGGTATCATTGGGTATTTAAGAAGGACTTTGAACAATTCAAGAAGATGCATAGAGGTGATCCAATGTCTCAAAAGCGCGAGATTTTAGAAATTGATGGAGAGCCACAGCCATAATCACTGGGCTGATTAACTAAAAGGTAAGAAGAAATGTTCATGATCTTTTTCTTTTTCTTTTTTTTTTAAATTTTATATTAAGTAAACTACTGATACCATTTGGTTTCTAAATCTATGAAGGGATAGATATTGTGACAACCAAATAATGTTATTATCAATGTTACTACCACATCTTAACTGTTGATTTCCGCCAATCAACGGTTATCATTTTTCAAATCAAACTCATTGATTAATTATTAATTCGCAATAAATAATAACTGTTGATTGGCAGAAATCAACGGTTGATATGGTAGTAATATTGGTAGTAACATTATTTGGTTCTCACAGTATCCTATCCCATCTATGAAACTCGGTTCAAGTTGATTTTTCTGTTAATTCTCTTTGATCAAGTTTAGTTGTGACTCTAAGGTGGCAGTCAAAGTTCCTGATGAGAATGCAAGGACGAATCAAGGCAAAATGGAGAAAGGATGCTAAACCTTACCTGCAAGATTTTCAAGTGTTGTTACGTACTCATGAGTCAGGGAGTGGCAAAAAGGGGAAGTGATGCGAATTCTGAAGAAGCTACTTAGAATAATAAGCTTTCTTTTGGTTGCCATTGGATTTTTTATTTTTATTGGTTGTAATGATACTGAAGTATTATATAATTTCTGATCTTATTTTATTTTAAAAACCGATACATGTTTTTGGTTAATATGCTTTTACTGTATCTGGATCCATATTTTGGCATATTGTTACGATCTTGCTTAACATACACGTAACTGGAAGAAGAACGAGGAGGAGGAATGTAACCAAAAGAAGAAGGTTTTTTTATTTTCTCAAATGTCAAACAACTGATGCATTTCATTTCACTTATTTATAGTACTATAATCGTATCCGACGTATTGTATATAGCTCAGCTATTAACGGAATGGCCTAACAAACTCTCTCCTTAGCCACATAAGATTTGTCTTCCTGTGCAAAAAGACCTTGTCCTCAAGGTCCAAAGAATGAAAAAAATAAATAAATAAAAAACAGGATAGTTCTTAAAATTCAAAATTCAGTTTACATAAGATTTACATTCAGTTTACGATAATATCCGAAAGGGAAATATAAGAATCATGTTGCAGGAATGGCACTGTTCATTCCTGCAACAAGGATACGGCGTCGTATCCTAAGGATACGGCGTCGTATCCTGATTTTGGTTTGACTTTTTTTTTTAAGCGTGGGACCCACACTTGATTTGTGTGTGTAGGAAAGTGCTCTTGTCATGTCAAATGACAAAAAGGGAACCCTATCCGAAAATTTAAAATTTAAAAAAAATTTAGTTTTCCGAAAATTCAAAAAAAAACCTTGTACCCCTAGATGGAATGTGATTCTATCAATGCAATTCAAGTTTTGAAGGAGACATATAAATACCCTAGGGAATCCCAAGTGACTAGGAGGTTGAGGTTGTGGGTTAAAGAAGATTAGACTGTTCAACTTGTTCACACGAGAAGATAAAACAACAAGAGTGCTCATTGTTTAGCGCAAGCTGGGCATAATGACTAGCCTTCAATTCAGGATATTGAAAAATCCTCTAAATCAGTTTATTGACCTTTTAGCTAATGATGCTAAAAATATTTCTTCTCTTAGGCTTTCTGATTTGTAGTTTTTTTTTTTGTCTGGGGCTATGCCCCTCCTTATTCACAAGAAAAAAAAAAGAACGTACGTGACAAATTAACCATACAGAAAGTAATCAACCAATTTCATAGGATCATCATATAACTGAAGGGGAATGTTTTCCCCAATGAAGTCTCAAGATAGCAAGGTTTGTATATGTTTCTAACAGCCTGTTCGGATTTACTTTTTTTTTGAAGTTAAAAGTAAAAAAAAAAATAGTTTAAAAAAAAAAGTTAATAGCTATTTGGTTATTATTATGATTATATAAATTTTTTAGCTTAAAAGTTACTTTAAGTTATACTAGCATATTCTATCACTCCATGAATTAGCATATTCTCATTTCTGCTCTTAGGTTTGACCAATGGGTTGGAAATTATCTTATTTATTAACTTGTGATACTAAAGAAGAAGATGCATATATTGGTTCAATTGAAAATTCATCTGAATAAAGTTGTGTAGTGCTACACATGCTAACACAAGTGTGTTAGCTCTGCTTGTGTTTTAAATGGAAATGAAGGTGGTGACTTTAAAATTATGAATAGTAATTTAAAAATGTCAAATATCTTCTAATTACATTTCTCAATAATACATGACGTGTTAGATATATTCGTTATTAGTGGCTCACGTGATTTGAATATAAGAAGGGCTAAAAGATAATTACGTTTATTAGTGGCCTGGTTAGTGGGAGGTTGTTAAGGGATAATATGGTAATTTGCTTGATGGAAGCAGTTATATAAATATTAAGGTAAAACTCTTCATCTCTGCCCATTAAGAGGTTCTGAGTTTTTGCCATCAAGAATAGAATAGGGACCTAGAATAGGAGGGTAAAGAGATTGAGAAAAACTATTCTGCATCAAGAGTTCTCAGTCTAAGGTTTGTTGTCAAAAGTCATTCAACAGAAAGAGTTCTCAATTGAAGATTTGTTGTCATCATCATGGACAAAGGTTAGTATCCTCATCATTGTTTACTAAATGTGAAAACATGATTTTTCAAGATCCTTATGTATTCTTGTTATCGTTTAACCTGCATATTAAAGAATACAATCATTGAATAAACCCATAGGTATACATGTGGTATCAGAGCATGTGTTTAGGAATTCATGTTTTTCCTTGTATGTTTGAATCATTGATCTGGTTTCTGAAATTAGTCTTGTTTGGAAAGAATTATGTATGGATTAATAAACCACCGAGTTGTCATCAGAAACCACAAATTAATTTTCAGTTTTGGTATATTCATGAACAACAAGTATTCATTTAAAATGAAAGTGATGGGTTCTTTATTTGGAATATAATAATATATTTCTAATATGCATGATGAATAAAGAGAAACCCACATAACGTAATTGAATTTTAAACCAAGAATTATGATGCCTTATATTATATTATTGTTGAACTTGTTACAAAAATCGAGGCATATATGATTTCCATTACATATATGACATTGCATTTGTTTATATGTATGTGCGCCACTGTTATTTCATTTTGGAATATGGATCGAATAGTCGTATACCTTTTGTTAACATTGAAATTATTTATAATGTTTACAATATGATTAAATGTAAAATCTTATGATTGTCTATGAAATGTGTATGGTTTGGAGTTGAGTATAGAGGATTAGCTAGTCACCAAAGTGGCCAAATTCTTAAGAATTGTTCTTAACTCCAAACATTATAGATGTGTTTTCAATTGCCCATGACTGTGATGCTATGAATTGTATAAAAAAAATTATTACTGTTTATGTTGTGGGTGTATTGAAGTTCGTTATTGTATGACAATTAGGGATCAACCCAAAGGATGATTATTTGTTTTGTAATAATGAACATAAACGTTGATATTGTTGTTACACTTCTGGTTTTATTTAGACTTCAAAGATGGTAAATATTTCTAGTTGAGGTATGCATCATTGTCAAATTATGTGAAATCTTTATAGCATCATTGTCAAATTATGTGAAATCTTTATAGCATCATTATTGTTGAATGTTACATGTTGGTGGATCCCCAAAGGTGAACATTAATATGCATTTATGAAGTATGTTTGAAATTATGAAGCATGTTAATATATATTAGATTCAAAGCATTGATGTTTTCTATTGCTTGCAGTACAAATTGCCTTACATTCGCAACTCTTAGCTGTTACAGTTTTTAATGGTCTTAACTTCTCTGATTGGAAAGAGCAAATCCAGTTTCACCTTGGTGTATTAGATCTGGATATAGCCATAAGAGAAGAAAAGCCAAGTGCTATTACTGATGCTAGCACTGATGAAGAAAAAACTTATTTTCGAAACTGCGAAAGGTCGAACAGACTGAGTTTGTTGTGTATGCATATGAGTATAGCTGGCAACATTTACTCAGCTCTTCCATAAATTGAACATGCCAAGGAAATGTTGAAAAATGTGGAAGAGCGCTCCCAAATTGCTGACAAGTCTCTTGTTGGGACATTAATGAGTACCTTGACCACCATGAAATATGATGGTTCAAGGACTATGCATGAGCATGTGATCTAAATGACTAACATTGCAGCAAGACTTAAGTCATTGGGAATGGAAGTGGCTGAAAATTTTGAGGTGCAATTTATTCTAAACTCATTCCCATTTGAGTATGGTCATTTTCAAATGAACTATAATACCTTGAAAGACAAATGGAATGTGCATGAACTGCACAGTATGTTAGTTCAGGAGGAGACCAGACTTAAGAACCTGGGAAGTCACTCCATTCATTATGTTAAGAAACAAGGAGCTGAAAAGAAAGGTATCAAGAAACATGAGAATAATGGAAGAGGAGCTATAAAGATCAATGGGGGTTCTTCTTCTAAGATTCACAAGAAGGAACATAAAGGAAACAGATGCTATTTATGTGGTAAGACTGGGCATCTCCAAAAGGATTGCTCAAAACATAAGGCTTGGTTTGAGAAGAAAGGGATTCCTTGCAACCCACAACACAAGACCAAATAAAAAGTTTGTCTTCATGGGCAATGGAATAAAGGCACCAGTGGAAGCTGTTGGGACTTATCGTTTAATCCTAGACATTGAACATCATCTGGACTTATTGGAAACTTTTTATGTACCTAGTATAACTAGGAATTTAGTTTCGTTATCCAAACTTGATAAAGCTGGATATTCTTTTGAATTTGGTAGTGGTTGTTTCAGTTTGTATAGACATAACTATTTAATTGGTAAAGGTATATTATGTGATGGATTATATAAGTTGAGTCTTGATAATCTTTTTGTTGAAACATTTATAGCCATGCATCAAAATGTCGGTACTAAACGTTGTTTAGTAAATGAAAAATCTGCTTACTTGTGGCATAAACGCTTGGGACATATTTCCAAGGAAAGAATGGAAAGATTAGTAAGGAATGAAATAC